CATGACAGCCACTTCGGCTCCAGGTATATTGGGTTGTTAGCTTCATTGGTAATCCATTCATTACCGAATAGTGGTTGTCTGAGTATTTCGTCTTTCGATTTTGGTCTATTGGTCTTGTTCGGGCGCACTCGTCTCCATAGTCGGAGTTGTACCGGCCAGTATGGGGAGGGAGGACGGGCGTCCTCTGGTCTGTTGTTCCTTGTCCGGTTTCTGCGTCCTGTGGTTATCCGCCATTCCTTATTCATGACCCAGAATAATCCTGACATATCGGGAGGGGAGGTGGTTGGAGCCACCTCCCTGATGCTGTCTAGAACCAGGCTGTTCCAAGCCATATCTGGTCTAGTCAGCAGTTTAATGATCCATTTTATTTGTAATGCTTTGGTCTCTGTTCCCGGGTCTATAAGACCTAGGCCTCCGTTCCTCGGTTCCCTTGTGATATAGTGCCAGGCCACCTTGGGGATGCACTTATCTCTAGTGGGATCACCTGTCCACAAATAGAGCCTGGCTTGATGTACCTGGATTTGTTTTCTTTTTTTTTGGACCCTCGGATGTATTCTGACGCTTCCTGAATTATGGCTTAATATCATGGTTGCCCCGGACCCGGACAACCGGACAACCGGACACAGACACCGGACCCGTGTCTGGATCAAACCGGACGTCAAACCGGACATCCAGACATCCGGACCCTGAGAGTCCGGTTTGCTGTGGCGGTGTCCGGTTGTCCGGGAAAAAAAAAAGAAAAAAAAAGACCACCAAGCACAGAGCTCAAATGTCCCAAGATTCTATGATTTTCTATCCAAATAAGAGCAAAGCAGTGAACTTGTGTGCCAATGCCATCTCCCTCAGGCCCCACCAACACAGTATCCATTGTCGCTCATCTCTGTCTGGCGTCATCGCCCTTAAATCCCTGCTCGCCCCTCCCATTCTTCATCGCCCTCCCATCCTTCATCGCCCTCCCATCCCTGCTCGCCCCTCCCATCCCTGCTCGCCCCTCCCATCCTTCATCTCTCCCATTCGGCATCGCCCTCCCATCCTTCATCGCCCTCCCATTTGTCATCGCCCCTCCCATCCTTCATCGCCCTTCCATCCCTGGCCGCCCCTCCCATCGGCCAGACCCTCAGCGATAGACAGAAAATGAAGTTGCAAAATCACGTAGAAGTCCAGATAGTCATGTACCAAGCAGAGAGCTCAAATGCACCAAGATTCCATCAAAATAAGAGCAAAGCATAGTTGCGGTGCACCTCGGTGCGCGGACTTGCGCACACGGAGCACACCGCGCAGCGCACCAGAAAAATTAAGGTAAAAAAAAAAGAAAAAAAAGTAGGGGTTCCATAATTTCCTACGGCACCCTCCCTGGAAAAAATGTCCAACTCGCCGCGCAAGCTCGGAAAATGTTTGCCCCCCTTGGCCCAAAAAACGTTTTTTGGGCTACCCCACAAATTTCAAAATTGCCGATTATGAAAATAGGGCTCATTGAGCCTCTAGGGTTTCCTTTTTGGGTGGGGTATGATAACTGGACTTCCCCTTTCCTTCGTGAATCGCATATTTGCAAGAAGGGTATCATTGCCCAGTATTGCCGTGGTCACACTGTCTAGCAGATGGCACACGTAATGTTTGCTGAGTCCAGCCGACCACCAATATATGCTGAAGTTTGGCGTTCAGGTCTGCATGTCGGCAGTTATGGGTTAGGAATAAGATGTCCGTAGCTCTCTCGTTTTTTCTTTTTGTTGTCTTCTGAGTACGTACAGTGGCCGTGAAGATGCCTGTAGCTCTCTCGTTTTTTCCTTTTTGTCTTCTTCTGAATACGTACAGTGGCCCAAGGGCCCTCTGGCCACTACTCACCACATCCACAAAAGACATACCATATGACGGTGTATGGCTCGATGTTTTAGCAGAAGATTCATTCGGATGTTTTTCATTTGGTGAGTACCACTGAGTGGTGGAGGTAGGCCCTGAGAATCACGTGGAGACACGAACAGGGTCTAGCTGAATTGGTGACCCATAACTCCCGAGCTACAGACCTGAAGTGCCCCCCACAGAATATATTGGTGGTCTGATCCCACCTCTCTCATCGTGACATGGCCACCCTGCTTGCTGAAGTGCCCGTAACCAATCCCTCCACAATGCCGAAGTGCTGAAGTGCGTTGTGAAGGGCATTGCTGGAGTCGTATGAGTTACCTGCAGGGGGCCCTAAATTGACGAAAAGGGAACCCTTTGGTCTCTCTCTCTCTCTCTCTCTCTCTCTCTCTCTCTCTCTCTCTCTCTCTCTCTCTCTCTCTTTGTGGCACGAATAAATGTTTTATTTATTATTTTTACTTTTTTATTTTTTTTATATTATAATACTTATATATCATATATATTATATATAAAGAACATCACAATCTCTCCGACGCTCATGTCCTTTGCTTCGAAATCTTGCCCAATGCACCCCCCTCTCATCTTTGTTTGTGCTTGGCCGTAGACGACTGCGTTCCTCCTCACCACCCCCGTCTCCTCCACGTTCTCGCTTGCGAACAGACTCTCCAGTTTCCATTGTTCCCATTGTTCCACCTTCGTTGCTAGGTACAAGTTCAGCTTCTGTTTGCAACACCACTACTCCTCTTGTTGTGTATCACCGACGACATCCGCGGCATCGTCACTTGTCCGGGGATCAGCAACCTGTTTCTTTGTCTGCCCCGATTCTCTCTGTGCCGCCTCCACAGGTTGTTGAGGTTCCTTTGTTTCAAACGGCAATATCCGCTCCTATGCCTCCTGCAGACAGTCCAGCTGCCGGCAGACAGTCCAGCTGCCGGCAGGCAGCCACCAGTCCCAACTCAGGATGCAGCCGCTGCCCAGAGTACAATCCCGACTCCAGGTACAATCCCTACTCAGGATGCAGCCCTAAACGTTGAGGGATTGGAACATGATCTGCCCGGATTGCAGTTGACCCCGCAAGGCTTAGACCACATGGGAGATCTGCAAATGGCTGACCAACATTGTTCGGATGAACCACAATTTTGTGCTCCGCCGCGCGCAGACCACATGGGTGATCTGCAAATGACTGACCAGCAAACAACCCAACACAGTTTGGGCTTGCAACGCCATCTGAGTGATCTGCAAATTGTTGGCCAGCATCCAACAAACCAGCCTGAGAACCTCAACAATCTCTGTGGTCTGACAACAACTAATATCTGTCTTCACATTCTCCACCGCCCTTTTTATACACCATCAGACTTCCTTGCAATCGCCCTTCAGCTTGATGCTGATCTTCCCCAATGACAGCCAGAGGATTGTAATTATACCAGCGAAGGAGGCTTTACCATTGCTGTCCTACAAGTAGCAATGAGGGACCGTCAACTTGAACTACGCAATGCTCGAGCAGGTGAGTGGTTTAATCCTCCATCCCACATCTCTGCCT